AATTCAACAACAGCAATCTAGAAAATAGTTCAGCTATGTTTTGCAGTTCAATAATGACTTAACACGCGTTTTTTGCCTTTTAATCCATAAATGTTGTTTCATAAATCAATATAATTAAATAGAATCTCTTTATCAATGCGCCGATATTCAATAAATATTTTAGCTTTATATTTCCGATAACCAATTAAATCTATGCAAAAAAAGGAATCGTTCAAAAATTTTGAAAACAGGGATCATGCGTTAACACTTTGAGAACAATAATTATGTTTTTCTCAGCAATTAACTTAAGAAATTATCAAAATTACTTATTTTATCGGGTTTTTCGCAACATTAAACGTTTACGTAATTAGTCACGAAACCACAATTACTGCACCTACACCTACATATTCAACGTTTGTACATAATTAAACATACACTTGTTTAAAAGTTTCACATTTTGTTATTTATAAAGGACAATTAAACATAAAAAATAAAAAAAACCATTAGATACAAACTGAATATTTTTCAGAAAGTTTAATAAAAAAATATATATTCATTTGCTTAACTAATACAAAAAGTGAAATAATTGTTGTGGGACTATGAGCTTTGTTTTTCAAATTTTATTTTATAATGGGACGTATTTTATGCTTTCAAGTTTTGTGGTAATTTCGTAAATTGCAAATGAAGCGTCTACACAGTACACCGAAAGTTGTTCCTGTATTGTTAATTAACACATGCGCCACCATTTTTGTTTCTCGTTTAATACTACTGCTAACCAGAACAAAATTAGTAACTGGTCTTAATATCATTTTTTTATCACTGATTGTTAATAATAATAGTGGTATAAGCAAATAAGAAACATTTTTTTTATATCTGCACAAATTCTCTAGGGGAAATTATTTTTACATTACATTGTCTTGCCTGATCTTCCTCACTTCCAACCTTAACATTCAGGCTGTTTGATTTAGTTTGTGAGTTAGTGCTGATTTTTTAAACCCTTAGTTGTTCGTATTTAAACTCACACGAAAATTAACCAAAAGAAAAATTATAAATAAAAATTTAAGATTGAAATTTAGATACATTATCGGTATTAAAAAAGAATTTTTGGTCAATCTGGTTAAAGTGGGTCAAAGGTACTTTGCAGTTTAAAATAAGTAATATTAACACCAACAATAAACTAAATCCATAAATCATATAGTCGGGCGTAAAAAGTTTGGGCCAAATTATTTTTCAGTTGGAATTAACCACTTGGGTCTCAATATATCCGAGTATTTTCTTGCCTAAATTGATCTTTTAACATATCTCCGTAAAAAGGTGTCTTGGGTTACTAGCTACAAAAAATGATCAAATTAAAAAACGAGGCCTTTTAAAAGCAGAATTCAACTCTAGCGTAAAACACTACTACTATTTCAAACGGACATCGCAGTTAAAATGGAAAAAGAAAAATAATTTTCTCTAAACTCATGTCAGTAAAACTCAAGACTGCTGTGGCAGAATTTATTGACACACAGGAGTAAAAATCCCATTTGCCTGATCTGATTAACCGATGTCGATAGTAAGGTAATAGATTTTTATAACAATAGAAATGTTCAGTTTTATGGCGTCCTTTATACTTTCCCCAGTCGAATAAAATGGAGTAAAAAATATTTGTTTTCATGATGAACTGAATCTCCATGTAATAATAATTATGTTACATCATAATAATATTAATAGTTGTTTATTGGAGTCGTATTTTCCTTATCAATGGACAGCTGCAAACTGCATAAAAACGACGCTTTTACTATAAATGGGACCGGCAAGAGTCGGTGCTGACAAAAGTTTTGTAGAAGCATCCAACACGCTATTCTCGTAAAACTTTACTTATGACTTAAATTAAACACGTTCTTTTTATTTACCTTTCCCCTATGTTTCCCCAATTCTACTATATTCCTACCGTGAACACACATATGAACCTAAATATTGCTCACATCAATGTCACTATAACCTAATTTGGAGACATATCATTAAAACATTCTATGTAAAAAAATTCTGTTAGACTCGCAGAAAATTGGTTGCATACTGGGGTCTTTCATGACGTTGTAGGTGTAAACAGATACAGTTTTTTAAGCAAGATAGAAGTTACGGTAGGGAAGGTGGTGTGGATTTATACGTTAATCAATATATTGCGGCTGAATTAATGTCTCTTCAATAGACTGAATGTCTGAATTTAAATTGGAGAAGATATCTATTGTGTTGAATCTTGAAGATATGCAGTATGACAATAGAGACTTCAATATGAACATGTTGGGTATCAATAATACTCTGTCTACACGTTGAGAAGCAATGCTAAATACTTTTAACAGCTAATGAACGAACCGACGCGGAAATCAGCCCCTAGTCTCTACACTTCTTGATTTATTGTGTACTAACATATACAATGTTACCGAATCCGGTGTGATTGCCTTTAATATTGCTGATCATTTTTAGTGTACCTAAAAGTTGAATGTTGAGGTCTCTGTTACCCAGCCGCGTACTTTCTCTCATAGGCCTTTGAAGGGCACACAGATTTGTTAGCTGCTCCTTGGGTTGATATTTTGTATCTAAATAAAATTGGTGATAAGGTATCGTTTTTAATGAATGTGTTTTAAATATTTTTAATAAGAAGCCCGCATTAAAACACTTCAAAAAAATAATAGTAAATATTTTCCTTAGATGACTACTACTAAACAGCTTTTGCGTAAACTGCGAAACAAAGCATTAAAAAAACTAAGCGTACAATGCTCTCTACTGATTACGAATATTATAAACAATTAAAAAATTATATCATTATGGCATTGAGGGCAGAAAAAAAAGCTTACTTTAGGTCAATGGTTTAAAATGCAGATAATGAAGAGAGGTGGAGAAAACTGCAAAACTTAAGTATTGTCAACAACAAAGCTAATAATACTCTTCCAGAAAGTCTGAGTGACTTTAACAACATTAATAATTTTTTTCGTAAACTCCGTCACAAGTAACTTACCTAAACCCAACCTTTTAAATTTCTATAACAATAATGTCAGACTTTTGTAATGCATTTGATATGATGAATCATGAAAGTCTGTTTGCTAATTTACATTGGAATGAGTGATGAATCCCGCCAGGTCCTTTTTGTGTGATAGAACCCGACAGGTGATTTGTAATGACCGGATATCTGAATCCCTAAATGTTCAAATCGGAGTCCCACAAGTATTTTCAGTCCTTTGCTATGCATAATATTTACTTGCAGTTTTGTAAGTGCTTAAAATACTATAAATATAACGTTTACATTGACGCCATCTCTATCATTCTTTTAACGATGTAGACATCAGCGAAAAGGATTAATTCAAGTTTTGTGGTATAGCCACGGATCGTTCTTCAAATTAAATCCAAATAAATCGGTTATACTCATTAATCATGTACGACGGAATTTGAAATCAAAATTAATTACCTAACCTTACCGTTCTTAGATTGTTGCAAGAATCTGGACATAATCCTAGACTCAAAACTAAAATTCAGGGAATATGTGACGAGTAAGCTTAGAACTTGTTACAGTAGTTTAAAGTTAATCTACAGTCAACGTCATTGTTTGTCTCGCGATATAAATAAAACCTATGTGATACTCTTGTCCTATCACAACTGAACCATTGTATGTATTAGTGTATACAAGCCCTACCTTAATACTAGCGCAATCAGAAAATGCAGAATTCATGTCTTGGTATAGGGAGAGAGTCTCGCATAACAACTTACCTATAAAAATTTGGTTGGCTTAGTATGTACCAGGTGTGTTCAAAAAGTATGGTGACTTTTGTAATTGCGCGGGCTAGACATGTCCCTAACTAAACCAGTTTCATCCAGTTTGCACATGTGCTTTCTTTTGTGAGACAGAGGCATTAGATGTGTTTTGTGTAAAAATGGAATACAGTGCTGCAAAAGACAACGGCATATGGTGCATCAACCTTAAGTAAAAAAAATGGTAACTGGTCCAAGCTGTTCTAAGATGGCCGAGAAGACTCCGCTGACAAATCTCACTCTGGATGCCCCAGCACGTCAATAACTGATGAAAGCGTGGAAGAAGTGAAGTCCCAAGTTTTAGACATGAAACTTGTAGCAACAAAATTTGTTCCGAAACTGTTTGTTTTTGAACAAATGGACCATCGAAGAGCTGTTAAACGACGTCAATGATGCACTTCAAGTTCGATCAAATGTCAAGATTTTTCTTAATGTTTGATTATCGTGGCGTAGTACATCAAGAGTTCGTACCACAAGGTTGTACGGTCAATAAAGAGTATTACCTTGAAATTATGCGCCGTTTGCAAGAAGCACTACCAAGAAAACGTCCGGAATTGTAGGAAAACAATTCATGGATTTTGCATGACGATAATGCACCTGCTCACTCATCGTTGCTTGTGTCTAACTTTGTGGCCAAAAACAAAACCACAATTATGTCTCAGCCATCATATTCACCGGATATGTGACATAACTTTTTGAACACACCTCGTATACAGATAGAGGCGCCATGCCGCAACTTTTTTTCCAAAATTATTAAATATACTACACCGCGTTAACTGTACAACAAAGTTTGTGTTAGAAGTGATATACATAATTTAAACTTACGTTGCAAAAGGCTCTTGACTGTTTCTCAACATTGTAAAGATAATTTTAAAAAATATTATAGCTTTTATTCTAAATCAGTCCAATATACACGACTTTTAATAAAAAAAATACTTGACCAGTAAAATCCTTTTCATTGTATTTCGGTTCCCTTCGTTTTTTTTTCTTCTTTCTTTCTTCCTTTTTTTCATAATTTCAGTTTTTTTTAAGAGTCCGACTTATGTTAATTTTATTGGTTACCCAGATATCTGCTTCGATTCTGTAGGTGTTTGGTATATTTTATATTTGTAAATATGGTTAAACAATAACGTTATTATTATTGTTATTATTATTATTATTACTATTTTTTTTTCTCATCGGAAGATGGAGTCCTCTCATGTCGGCTAGGTGAGTAGCAAAACATGAAATGTGCGCTATTGAAGTTGAGGTTGATTAAGAACTCTTCTAATTATGTTGCAGGTAGCTAGTACCACAGACTTCTGCATTTCAAAGTAGGCGCCTGGTTTTACGGTGAGTGTTGTCAGGTTGGTTCTGAGGGACTTTGGTATTTCTCCCATTGCACCGATCACTATAGGAACAATGTTAACCCTATCGACACGCCATGTCTGTTTTATGTCATCCGCTAACGGTATGTATTTTTCTCTTTTTTCACGTTCTTTCTTCTGCAAGTTGTTAGGTGCGGGAATTGCAACGTCGACGATGGTCACCACCTTATTTGCCTTGTCATAAATAAGAATATCTGGCCTGTTATGCTGGACAGTGTGATCGGTCTGAACAGTTCTGTCCCAATATATCCTAAATCCCTCATTTTCAAGCACGGATTCTGGTGAGTATCGGTAGTACGGACACTTCTCTTTTCGAAGTTTAAGGTTGAAGGCTATTTCCTGATGGACTATCTTGGCTACGTTGTCGTGTCTTGTGGTGTACTCCTTCGGGGCCAGTATCCGGCAACCACTGATGAGGTGCTCAACATTCTCATGGCCCTCTCCACATATACGACAATTCGTTGTTGTTACTGTCGGGTCCTTGATTAAGATAAGACCGAGTGGGTATGACCTGATCCTGAATTGCACACATGAAACCCTCAGTCTCGGGGAAAAGGTTGCCGTTCGTTAGCCAGCCAACTGATGCGGGCTTGTCAAGGTCAGCACTGTCAAGCAAGTTTGGGTATCTGCCGTGTAGTTCCTTTCCCCGCCACTGGGTCTCGAGCTCGAAAATTGAATACTTAGGGTCGCACTGATAGTGTGTGACCTGCAACATGAGGGGTGTAAATGATCTATCTGGACCTGTCACTGCTCGGTGGAGCGCTGAGCTCTCGCTTTTTGATGGAAGTATTTCTGCAGCCGCTCCACCTGGGTCTTGTGGCATATTCGCAAATCCGAGAATCCCCTGCCACCGATGTCTCGAGGTAGATGTACCCTCTCTCTGCCAGCTCGTGGGTGGTGAGCGCGGAATTTAGTTAGACTTGTCCTTAAGGTTCTATTCAGATCATCAAGCTCTGTCGGCGTCCAATGGACGATGCCGAAGCTGTACGCCACTGCAGGGACGGCGTAGGAATTGATTGCAGTCGCCATGTAACGGCCTGCCAATCTTGTTTTTAAGATGTGCTTGACTCTCTCTTTAAATCTCTCGGTGAGCAGCGTCTTGACACTTTTAGAATCTATTCCTCGCGCCTGGGCAAGACCTAGGTATTTATAGGTTTCAAATTTATCCAGCGTCGTTATTTTTCCACCACCACTATGTTGTGTAAGCTGATCGCCGTTTATCTGACGCCACTCTCCTCTATGAAGTTTACCAACTTTACACTTCTCCAGACCAAACCTCATTCGAATATCATTTGAAAAGTTCTCGATGCATCTGAGCTGCCGTTTTAGTCCCTTCTCGGTGTCCGAGAATATCTTGAGGTCGTCCAGGTACATTAAGTGAGAGAGCTTAAGTTCTTTATTAAGTGGATATCCTTGCTTGAGATTATTGAGAGCGGAGGAGAGTGGGTTTAACGCTATGCAGAACCAGAGGGCACTCAGAGCATCACCCTGGAAAATACCTCGTTGTATTTTTATGCTGATCGGCTTTTCTTACGCCCCCTGGTCTCTCAGAATCATTTGTGTCTCCCACTGGTCCATAGCATGTGTGAGAAAGTTGATGATTTTGGGGTCGACTTTATAGACAGAGAAGCACTGTAGCAGCCAAGTGTACGGAACACTATCAAATGCCTTCTGATAATCAATATATGCAGTAAAGAAATTCTTGGAAGCTATTGCGTTGCGGGTGACAACGTTGTCAATTGCAAGTGTTTCCTTACACCCCTGTGCATGCCGTCTGCACCCCTTCTGCTCTTCAGCCAAAAGATTGTTATCATCCATGTGTTGGTATAGTTTGTTAGCTATTATTCCATTGAGAATTTTGTATATCGTGGGCAGGCACGTTATGGGTCTGTATTTTGAGGGATTTTTAATTGGGTAATCTGTCTTTGAGAGAAGGTAGGTCATCCTTTTCATCAGAAAGGGTGGCGTAGACTGAGGGTTGTTCAGTATCAGGCTCAAGATGTCAGCAAGTTTGGACCTGACAGCGGTGAATTTCTTGTATCAGAAGTTCTGTATCCCATCCGGTCCGGGGGCTTTCCAGTTTTTAGCTTTCGCCAGGACTTCATTTAGGTCCTCTATGACGATCACTTGAGGCAGCATGAGTTTTATTCTTTCGGTCTTCTTTTGTCCGCACTTTATCCACTCAGCCGAAACTTTGTGATTGAGATGGACCTGCCAGATGCCACTCCAAAATTCCCTGATACTTTCTGGTTCCGGGTATTGGCCCTTGTCGTCGGTGGTTGATGGCGCCAAGTTTCTGTAAAAAGCACCAGGGCTCCGGTTAAAGAGGTTATTATCCACTATTCTATGCCATGATTGCTGGTATCTGCACAGTCTATTTGCGTATACTCGCAGTTTCTGCTTTAGCAGATCCAACATGTCGACCACAGTATAGTTTCCAGAGTCTCCGTATTTTTTTCGCACGTTATCGGCATGCTTTTTGACCCGTTTACTTGGTTTTCTGGGTTCAAGGGTTTCAGTGAGTATACCGATCTCTCTTCTCAAAGTCGCAATTTTGTCCTCTAGTCTTCTCTGCCATCGGGGGAGTTTAAGCGTTTTCTTTGGTGAGTTAGTGCTAGAGGGATAGAATTTCTGTCTATGGAGCAGGATGGTTGCCACAGCGGCGGAGTACACCAGATCATGAACAACAGTGAGGTCATGACGATTCCCTCCGTTGACATAACTTCGTTAGGACGCCAGATTTGTTTTAACTAAAGCCAGATCTTCATATTTTCGAACTTTCTCAGCTTCGGTAGATCTCAAATTGTGAGTCGACGGTATGGCGATATCAATGATTGTCCCTTTTTTTCCTGTTTATTAATGAGGAGAATATTTGGTCCGTTGTGAGCGACCGTTTTATCTATTAGTACCGGACGATCCCATTATAGCAGATGTGACCTATTTTCGAGAATTAATTTTGGTTTATATTTGTAAAATGCAGGCGTATCTTTCGATAAAAGTGTCCATTTGAAACTCAGTTGCTGTTGTATGATTGTTGCCAGTTGATTGTGCCTTCTTACAGAAGCATTTTCTGCTAGTGGTCTACACCACCCATGATGTGTTCTTTTGATTCTCCAGTATTGCTACATTTCCTACGCTTATCAATGTTGTTGATTTTCAATATATGTTTTTTATAATTTATAGTTCTAATTACTTTGTATTGCGAACAGTTTCCGAATAAAGATAGCCCTTATGAAGCCATGCATTTACCATGAAGTGCTTTTTCCGTCCAAGTTTGTATTTCCTGATGTAGTGTTGATGTTGTATCGGTTACTATTGGCCTAAGTTGGTGAAGTTTTTATTGGCATTTCTTATAGACTGGTTCGATCCTAATAATTGCACACCAATTTTAGAGACTAACGAGCCGGGTTCTAGGTCTGCGATGCCTTCGAAAGAATCTTCTTCTTCACTTGATGGATCAAGTTTTCTTTTCTTGATTCCTATTGTTGTGCACTTATCCGATCCATATGAAATCTTAATATCGTCACTGAATGTTTTCACGATAGCAATGAGGCTGTTCAGTTTTGATCGATTTTCTGCACACATTTTTAAGTCATCCATTGTGGTTTATTTTGGAATTGCCTCTGGGTTGTGGTATGTATCCTATCTGAACATCATTCAGAAGGGTCGACAATGGGTTAATGAACCACATGGATGAAAGGGAGCGTTGGCAAATGCCTCTTTTGATATTAATCATACCCAGCTTATCATTTCGAACGTGTAGGTTTACTCGCCAGTATTATTATTATTATTTATTATTATTATCACACATAATAAAATTAAAGAGCGTTCTGATACTTACCAGCTGTTTTCAAAGAGGATGGCAACCCACAAAATTCTTTTGTCTGCGATGCAATACTTGGGCAATTCAGAAAGTACAATAGAACTATTTAACTAATCAGTATCAGTACATTGAAACTGAAAAGGATATATTTACAGAATAGCTCGTTTCAGGCGGTGTCCTTCAGTGTTCAATATTATTTCCAATGTTTTACCCAATATGTAGTTTTGCTGGGAAAAAGCATCAATTGAAATAAATGCAAGTGTTGGAAAATATTTTGCAGATTGTTGTAAAAAGTGAGAAATTAAAGGTAATCGGGGAAGCTAAAAATATGGAGATGATCATCTAAAGACATTTAAGATTAGCAGATGTTAACAGATGCATACAGAGACGCTATCCCAATTTGAAGATGTATCCGCATAGGAGTGTTGTGATCAAACATTAACTTTATAATTGACTAACTCCTAAGCTTGAAGGATTTCCTAAAGATAGCGATGCTGTCTGCTATTCGGCTAATTTGCAGAGTATACTCGCTCAGCCATGACATGAAAGCTGCGTAATCGGATGTTTTCGGAGATTTTACCGCACGGTATTCGTGGTATTTTGCAAAAATGTATAGTGTGCAACACGTTTGATAAACTCTACAAGTCCCTCGTTTATTAATCACTCGCTCATAGTATACTATTTTATGATAATCTCGTTAATTGGGAATGTGTGAAATGAAATGCTCTATGTATTTTACGGTTTTCGACTTACTGCTTGAATATCAGTAATTAATAAGGTTGTGGTTTGTTTAAATATATGCGACTAAATCTATTTTTATGAAAAAAAGTGATAATACCCGATTGAAAACAGATATCAATTAAAAACAGATCACAACGCAGTAAAAAGATAAACAACGAAATCCTATTTCATTAAAGATCCGTAGAGTGGAAATTCTTACCAAAATTTAATTTATTTTGAGTTTTAAATTATTTTGTTCATATTTTAGATTAGAATAAAGATATTGAGATGCAGTTTTTCACTGCTTTTTTTTCAGAAATTTATTTTTTTGCGCTTATGTCAAAATGCGCCAGCTTTTAATACCTAACTTTCGTTTTCCCAATACCTTATCTTCCTGACATTACTGGGACGCTCGGCATATCAAAACAATGTAGGTAGTTATTAATAACAGAGCCGTTAGAAGTAAAACCATTATTATTTTGTGCTTGGTCTCTGCACTTGATAAGCTTTTGAAGAATACAAAATACAAACGGGAGTCAAATGAAAATCTCATAAACATACCAATTTCTCTTTTTTTTAAACCAAAAATCAGGTAGTTTTAAGTCGCCTTTAGCCCCACCTCCTTTATATGTATCATCAACAACAAAATGATAAACGTTTAATAAAAAAAATATATTACATTTGTCATAACGTAATATTTAGCTATTAAAATTCAAAACGTCGAGACCGAAGCACTTTTGGATTTGATCTTATCGCGAAACGAAGCCACAAGCCACAAGATTGTGAACGATCGTAAACCAGATACTTGCTACGTCGAATCTGGTCGTCTGACGCAAGCCGCGGTGTTTAACGATTCAGGTGATGTTTCCATTTCCTCCGCGAATAAAAACTACGAAGAAAATGCACGTAGGCCAGTTACCATGGCGAATATGTGACGGGAAAACGAATAAGCTGGTTTTTGGGCTAAATAGGCATTCAATTTAAGATGAAATATTGTTGTAGGTTTGTTTAAATTTTACTCACGGCCACCAGAATTCGCAATAAAGTTGAAAGACTTGCGTCAATGAGTCACTCACAATTTTTCTAAACGTTTTAAAAACCAGCCTTTGAAACATTTTTTTGCTAATATTTTATTTGCCGTCGACGGCACCTCCTGTTACGCTAATAAGGTAATAAGTTAATATATCTAAATATCAAAATTTTGTTTTACAGACCTTAATATTGATTGATATTGATAAATATCTTGAAGTTGCAGTGGAGCCAAAGCCATCTTAGGGCACTAGCAATCATACAAAAATGGCTACCAAATATTAGTATATATTATTATATATATATATATATATATATATATATATATATATATATATATATATATATATATATATATATATATTAGTATACGCGGCTGTATCGACATAGGTTTTTACAGCTTTCGTTGATTTTAAATGCGCTTTTGATTTGTCATCAGAAGTCCTCATGTCCTTGCGGACATGATGACTTCTTCTCTCCCTTGGTTAGCTAAACCAGAGACTCAATTTCAGAACATGCTGACATTTCTGACCAAAGATAAATTCTCTTACAATGAAAGCTCAAAATACTAAAGTTACGTGCTTTAGTAACTCCTGTTCGGCAACCTAGCTCTTCTTGGATGATTCAAGGCTCGATGTGGTTAAACGGTTTAATTACCTTGATACCTTCTTTCTCTCTTTGTTTAGATAAATGGCCTACAAAACAGTTTCCAAAGCAAGCCAGACAGCGGCGGCAGCTCTGTCTATGCTTGGACGCAACTCAAAAAATTTATCAACAATATTAAATATTTTTACCTTATATC